GATACCCTATTTACAGTTCTGGGCTAGCTCTGTGTAAACATCATTGGTAACATGGGTCCTTTCCCTCTCTTATATGCATGATACCATTAACCCTTCCCTAGTGTACATAAAGATAACACGAGAGAAGGTGGAGGCATATTGGAACTTGCAAGATTAAACCAATATAGTTGATTTCAAGGCTGCTGTCAGGCCTTGAAGCCACCTTTTGCATTGGGCCTTCAGACCTGCCACATTTAATGCTGTGGGAAAATGTGAGGGTGGATTAGATGGAATGGAGCAGATGTAGTCAAAATAACATTCCATTTTGTTAGAGATGTCATATTGGCACATCTGGGAAAACCTGAATCTGAAAGTTTCCAGGTTTTCCCCATCCAAATGAATGTTGAAGTCCCTGCCCAGCACCCTCATGTCCATCACATGGTCCAATCAGGCACCGTTCCAACTGAGGATGCCTCCCAGTCACACCACTCTAGGTGCAGGGCAGGATGACCTTGACTCTCTGAGAAAGGAATGTTATTTTGAGTACATCTACCCCACTCCATATAATTATCCCTACCAGTTTCCCACAGCATTAAATGTGGCAGGTCTGAAGGCTCAATGCAAAAGATGGTTTCCAGGCCTGACAGCAGCCTTGAAATCAACTATATTGGTTTAATCTTGCAAGTTCCAATATGCTTCCAGCTTCTCTCATGTTATCTTTATGTACATTATGGAAGGGCTAATGATATCATGCATATAAGAGATGAAAAGGACCCATGTTACCAATGATGTTTACACAGAGGTAGCCCAGGACTATAAATAGAGAAGGGCGCATGCGTGAGAATGGGAAATGGCTGCCAAGCTTTATCGCTTAGGCTTGCGGAAAACAAAAACGGAAGAAGCTCTGGGACTAGGACCTCGGACATGGTAAAAGAGGGGTTCCTGCAAGAGACCGGCTTTCGGACGATCCAGGGAGGCAACTACCTGGGGGGGGCTCCTTGATGGTGTTGCCGCCCTCGGCAGTTTCTCTGTGCTCCTGTGCTGGTCGGCGACGGAGACGGCATTGCACGGGCAGCGACGGTCTTGGCCTCGCTGCCGTGGGAGGCGTTGGACTTGTGCCTGGCGGTGCTGGCGTGGCAGTTTGTGCCCTGAGGAGGGGGTGGGGGGTTCTACAGTGATGTGTGCCAGGACTGGGCGGCTGGTTTTCTGCCACCGCCGCAGCTCTTTTGGCTGCCCCTCCTTCTTCTTCTTCTTGGTGCAGCATTTCTTCTGCCTTGCCATTGCCACTGTGGGGCTTCACGCT